TTTCTCCTTCCTTCTCCTCCGCTTTCTCCTTCCTTCTCCTCCGCTTTCTCCTTCCTTCTCCTCCGCTTTCTCCTTCCTTCTCCTCCGCTTTCTCCTTCCTTCTCCTCCGCTTTCTCCTTCCTTCTCCTCCGATTTCTCCTTCCTTCTCCTCTGACTGCCACCAGTGCCAGTCCTTGCCTTGCAGGGGTACCGGGAGCAGGGGATCCTCTTTGGCTATCGCCCCCCGCGCAGCTCAGCAGCAGACTGCCTCCTCAGCGCCTTCCAAATGACCAACGAGACCTTAAACATCTGGACTCATTTTGTGCCTGCCTGGTAGGTCCCATCCTCTGAGGCTTCAGCACCCGTGGGAGGAGGTGGTGGATCTGCACGAGGGGAGCAGGGACGGGCGACACCCCAGGGTGCGATGCTCCCCTTCCTCCATCCCACAGGTACTTCGTGTGGACGCTGGTGGGGCGGCTGCGGGGGCCGGGGGGCCGGGAGGACCCCCACACCTGGCCTCTCCTCGCCTACCTGCTCACCTGCTGCATCTACCCCCTCGCCTCCAGCTGCGCCCACACCTTCAGCACCATGTCCACCCGCGCCCGGCACATCTGCTACTTCTTCGATTACGCTGCCCTCAGCATCTACAGCTTGGGTAAGGACGGGCAGATCTGCGGAGGTTTCGGTGGGGTGTCCCCGCACCCTCCCCGGGGGAGCTGGAGCAAAGGGAGGCATCGAGGACAGGGCTGAACCCTGGGTGCTCGGATGGCTCACGCCCACGGGACAAGCAGAGACAGCAGCTGCTTTTGTGTAGTTTCTACTCCTCCTCTTCCTCCTCCTCCTCCCTACAGCCTGGCGCTTGGGAGGGATGGTGAAGCATCTCTTACGCCACCACAAATAATAATTTGGGCCTGGCTGCGTGACACTCTTCAGCAGTCAATAGAATAAGGAAAAAAAGCCACGTTAAAAGGTGCCAGTGAAGGTGGTGGCACCTCGCTGGGCGGGTAAGCCCAGGGCGAGCAGCGGCAGTCGGGGTCTTTGCACGGCGCGACGCGCCTCCGGCTCCTCACGGGAAGGCGTTTGGAGGAGCTGCCTGTCGGGGCGGATGCCTGACGCTCCCCTTAGCTCCTCAGCTGCTCCTCTACCTCGATTCCCACCTCCCTTTCCCTTGCCCCAATGCCGAGCACCCCTCGACAGTTCAGAGCGGCGCCCAGGAGGATGCAGAGGGTCCAGGTGGGACCTGGGACCCACCGGGCACCTGCTGTATTTCCAGGCTCCGCGCTGGCGTACTCGGCGTACGTTTTCCCAGCAGAATGGGTCAACAGCACTTTCCACCACTGCTACGTCCCCATCGCCGTGTTCAACACCGTCGTCAGCACCAGTCTGTCCTGCTATTCCAGGTGAGCTGCTGCTTTATCTGCCCTGATTGCTACCACATAATCATTAATTAGTATTGTCAATCAAGCTTTCCAATTGCAGGCCGTGTTGTAAGTGATACGAGCCTTAAGCTCAGGAAGGGGAAGAAGAGGACTTTTGGTTTCAGAAACGCGCTGCGTGCTGGCACTAGGGGAGTCTGATGATCGAAAATGCGAAACAAACGAAGTGGCTTTAATTTCTGAAAGCTCCAAAGGCAATTCCGTTTGGTGCCTGCCTGGCAAACAGGTCACCCCCTGCGCCTCCTTTGGGCTGTTGCTTTGCTAACATTGGGAAGCCTAAAACTGGAATAGTGTGTCCAGTTCGGGGCTCCCCAATTCAAGAGAGACAGGGACCTGCTGGAGAGGGTCCAAGGGAGAGCTACAAGAGTGATTGAGGGACTGAACATCTCTGCTGGGAAGAGAAACTGAGAGACCTGGGGCTTTAGTCTTGAGAAGAGAAGACTGGGACGAGATCTTATTGATGTGCTGCCCGGGCTGCCCAGAGAGGGTGCGGAGTCTCCTTCTCTGGAGACTTTCCAACCCATCTTGACCTGTTCCTGTGGGGCTGCCCGAGGTGACCCTGCTCTGGCCGGGGGTGGCACTGGGGGATCTCTAGAGCTCCCTCCAACCCCAACATTCTGTGATTCTATAATTCCATAATTCTATGGCTCCAGTGTCCCCCAACACTTAAGCATGTGTTTAGGTTTCCGGTCCCGCCATAAGCACGTATCAGCCTGAAGCTGGATGTCTGCGTGAGGGTTCGTACGCGTGTCTGTGTGTGTGTATATAACAGATTTGCAGGGGAGGAACCTCAACATTCTCGCAGCCGATTGTGTCATTCCTAAGGCATGAGCAGCGTTACGTACGTGGCGTTTTGTTCCTGAACTGCATTAGACAAATTTGTTTGGGATATCTCAGATGTCTAAACCACTCAGCTGATGCCCAGCGATACGTGCCGGGCTAGATCTCTAGCCCGATTGGTTTTTATTTAATTCGTGGCAGATACCTCCCCGAAGGCTGTGTTTGCAAAGCACTCGTGTGTGTTACTGCGACGACGTGCAGTTTGCTTTGCAAAACACGCAACTCCTTTTTCCACGAGCGTTGTGAATCATTCGGCATTACCCCTTCCTTCTATTTTTGGGTGTCTTTGCTCAAGGATCTCTCCTGGATCACTCAGTGGATGCTGCCAGTTAGGGCTTGATGTTTTTTCCTTGTATTCCTCATTTCGTTCTCTTTCTTTCTGTCTCTTTCCCCCCTCTTATTTTTGTCTCGTGCGTCTCTTTATCATCTCCTTAGATGGATTTAGCAAGAAGCTCACTGACCATGCGCTAATCCTAGTACTTGCCACTTGAAGATAACACTTAGGAAATGTCAGCAGCTTGAGATCAGTTCCAGATTCAATTGAGTTGTTTAAAAAAGGTCCTGAACTGCAAATTTAATTGGTGGCATCCCTCTGCTACAAAACTCTAAGTACAGTTACGTGAAAAAACACGTAACTATTGCTGTGTGATAGAACAGTGGTCGTGGTGGGGCATCTAAAGGCATTCATTAAGCTGCTACACCAAATTTTATCAGCCTCTTCAAGAGAATTTTCCAGCTGTAGATGGCTGCTCCATGAGTCAGCAGTAAGGATTTTTGTTCCTTCGGTTTATGAATTACCTCCCTTTTGCTTTTTTGAGTTACCTTCCCTGTTTTCCTTTAGGTTTCTGGAGGTGGAGCGGCCCAGGTTCAGCAAGGCTTTCCGCACCCTGGCCTTTGCGTACCCGTACCTCTTCGACAGCATCCCCCTCTTCTACAGGGTACGCCTCCCACGGCCCCAGACATTCGCCTGCTGCAGGGCTGGAAATATCAGCTGCTTCATCCGAGTCTGAAAATATTTGGGAAAATACGCCGGCCTTTTTTTTTTTTTTTAAAAAAAAAGGAAAACAAACTCCTGCAGGAAAAGAGATTTAGTTATTTTTTCCTGCACCTATTGATAGGCAGATTCCTTCTACTTCAAAGCACCGCGCTCAGGTTTTGCCCGTGCTGGAAAGTCACTGCCTTGGAAGGCAGCAAGTTTTCTAGTTCCCAAAGTGGAGAGGGGTGGGATTTTTCACAGAATCATAGAATAGTTAAGGTTGGAA